CCCCAAAACCCCAAAACCCCAAAACCCCTGGAGATCAAAAATACTGAAAACTCATCATATTTTTATAATTTTCTATAAACTTAGAAACTCTTTCCAAGAAGATAATGATTATCACTCCCACGAGAAACTCCATAGAACACAATATGCCCCATCTGTACATCCTCTTGCATCTGTTCAACTTGCTCTTCAGTAAAAGACTCCTTAAAATCAATCCTCTCCACTGTCTTCGCCAAAGAAGTCTCTGCCATAAACACAAGTAAAGATTTCACTTCTTCATAAGCATCGGGAATGGCTGCAGAAGAAGAAGTGGGAGTAAGGGACTGGATCGGACTGTAGCTGTGGGGGATTCATGAGGATAATACCAGTCAGTGGAGGGATGGAGTGGTCCGGATGGATCTGGGGGGTTGGATCATTGGGAGATAGCAGGAAGAGAGAGTTAGCTCGTATGTGGTGGATAGGTTGGAAAATAGGTTTAGTTTGGCTTTTTGGGAGAGTTTTATGTGACTCAGATATAAGAAAACTCCTACTTTGGGAAGGTTCTGAATGAGGAGTTTATAGAAGTCTTTAGATAGAGTGTAAATTTTATCAGATGGTCAAGTGATAGAGATGCTACGTATCTTTCTTGAGCTAAAAGGATTAGATTTGACTAATCGATTTTCTGTCTTCTGATTCTCGATTTTGTAAATATAGGTTGGTACAAAATCAGAAGTAAGCCTAGGCTTCAGCACTTTCTTAATGCTCTTAGTATTCTCACATTTCTAAAATCATATTCTGAACTTACTAAAGTAATGCAATCAATAGGATTATGAGACATTTGATAGACGACTCACTCAGTTTGTCTTGGAATGTATGCTAGTTTACTTCAGAAGCTTTTACTTAGATGTATAAGCTGCTTCTCTTTCGCCCAAAGCTCTTTGCTCATATTTTTCTTTGTTTTACCAGACTCCATTATCTATTTAATTTATTTCATAAGAACTAGCAAGATAGAAATGGGGTTTTGGGGTTTTGGGGTTTTGGGGTTTTGGGG